GGCCCTTCGGAGCAGCAGAGGCCCAGCGCCAGCCCTGCTGCGCTGGTGCGTGTGCGGTTTGTGCGTGCACGTCGCCGCGAGGGGCTCCTTTGCCCCCCCGGCCCCGGGCTGCCGCGCGGCCGTGCGTCTCTCGCGCGCCTTTCATTCGGGGCTCTCATCTGACTCCCGAGTGCCGCGATCGCAGATCACGATCGGTTGATGCTTTTGAGTTGTGGCTCGTCGAGCACGCCAGGGTGGCTCCGACCGCGCTCTACCGAAGTGGCGTGCTCCTGGCGCGAGCGCTGGCCACCTTCGGAGCCTGGCTGCACGACGCTGGCTTTCCCCGCTACAGCCTTGCTCATGCTTTTGCTGGGTGTCCAGCCCGCGCGTCCTCATTGGAAGGCGTTTCTCACCGAAGTTTGGGACGTCGCTAAGCAGTGGAAGATTGCTGAGCTTCTGGAGCTTCGTCCACCGTTGCCGCGCGCCCTGCTGCGGGCAATGGTTGGTCTCTGCCTCGTCTGGGACTGGCCTGACATGACCGCCCTGCTGCTGCTCGGTTTCGCCATGTTCTTCCGTCCTGGGGAACTCGCCAAGGCGAGGCGGTGCGACCTGTCCTTGCCGCCCGACCGTCTCGACGCGAGAGGCGACGCCTTTCTGGCCATCGCTGCACCTCAGACCCGTCTATCCTTCCCCGTGCAGCATTCGAGGTGTTCGGATCGTCGGTCGGTGGACCTGTTCGAACGTGTTTTTGGGCATCTCGCTCCCGCCGATCCGCTCGCCCCTCTTGGGGCCAGCAGCTTCCGTGCTCGGTGGAATCGCTTGCTTTTGGCACTGGGCACCCCGCTCGCCAAAGCCGCTGCTGGCTGGAATTTAACTCCTGGCTGTCTTCGCGGCTCAGGCGCCGCTGACTTCTACGTCGCTACAGAAGACGTCCCGCGCGTCTTCTGGCGATGCAGGTGGCGCCGAGCGTCAGGTGCTGAACGCTACCTTCAATCTGCCGCTGCTTCGACTGTCCTGGCGTCTCTTTCTGAGGCCGCCAGGGTTCAGGTGATGCTCTTCGCCTCTGGTGGCAGTCGCTTGCTCGCCTCCTACTTATCCGTGTCGCCTCCGAACTGGTCAATCCAGCTTGCGGCCGCCCGCCAGAAACCTTGTCACTTCGCAGGGGCGTTGAGCATGGGCATGGCTGCGCCGCCCCTTGGGCGGCCAGGGGGCTCTCTCCCGAGCGCGGCGCGTCGGCGCATTCGCGCGCGGCGGCGGGTCTGCCCCGCCGCGGCGCGCGACCGCGTCGGCGCGCGCGCGCGCGGAGACCGCTCGCCAGGGCGTAGCGAGATAATGCTCTTTCTATTCTCTGCGACCTTCCCCGCGCGGTCTCTCCAGTGTTTCGGCGCCCCTCCTCGCCCGCCCGGCCTCGCTGAGGCCGAAGGCTTGCGCGTTGCGCGGCTGCCTTCTGCGCCCGGGGGGGCCGAGGTGTTCTGCCCCCCCTGGCCTTCACGGCTGCGCCGCCCCTTGGGCGGCCAGGAGATTCTCTCCTGAACGCGGCGCGTCGGCGCTTTTCGCGCGCGGCGGCGGGTCTGCCCCGCCGCTGCGCACCGCTCGCCAGGGCGTCTCTCCCGCCCTCGCCGCCGCGAGACGTCGATGGCGGCGCGGGCCTGCGTGAGCAAGGCCACGAACGGACAGGCCCGCAGGAGGGCGTTGTTTAGTTTTCATTCGGCTTCGACGTTTCGGTAGGGCGGGCCGAGCGTCTCGCCTGAGAGTTCCTCGCCATTTGTGATCCTGAAGCTTGAAATTTGCAGCGGCTTCAAGGATGGAGGGCGTGCCGCAATTTGCGGGTCTGGCTTTCGCGCCGCGCGCATTCCTTTTGAACGTTTGCAGCAGTTTCAAAGATGGAGGGTGGGTCGTTTACATTTTGTGGCTCTCGTCTTAGCGCCGCGCACGTCTGTTTTTAAAACTTGCAAGAGTTTTGACGATGGAGGGCGGCCCGTGATCACATTGTGGCTCGCGCCGTAGCGCTGCGCGCATTCGTTTCACAAGAGCTTCAAGGATGGACGGCGGCCCGTTTTCAAACAGTGGCTCTCGTCGCGCCGCGCAAATGTGTTTTAAATGTTTGCGATCGTTTCAAAGTTGTGGGGTCGGTCGTTTTCAAAATGTGGCTCTCGCATTGGCGCCGCGCGCGTTCGTCTTAAAATTCTGCAGCCGTTTCCCGGATCCCTAATGTTGTGGAACGTTTTATGACTCTCAGGATGCAACCGTCACGTTGGTGCGCGGCATTGAAGTACCAGAAACGGTATTGTGGCACGATTGAAGATTCTCAACTTGTTGTCTTTCATTGGGCGCGTTTCGCAATGGAGATAGATTCTTGTAGGGGCCCATGAGGAGGGAAGTTGGGTTGATAAAGAAAAAAATGGAGAGACAAACATACACAGTTCTCTTGTTGCAACATCGTTGATGCGTCCTGGGTCTACAGTGGTCCTCCTCCTCTTCCTCTTCCTCTTCCTCTTCCTTTGTTGACGTTGCGCGGACATGGATCGGATCTCGTTGCGTCGTTCGTGACGTGCGACAGAAGTAATGGCCGACTTGGGCATGGAAACAAACGCATTGAACAACCTCCTCTTCTTCCTCCTCTTCCTATCCTGGCAAGCTGCACTGCTCCCCCTCCTCCTATCCTTGAGGCGTCCTGGATTTGCACTGGTCCCCCTCCTCTTCCTCCTCCTCCTCCTCCCCCTCCTCCTCCTCCTCCTCCTATCCCTCCCCCTCCACCCCTCTCTCCTCCTATCCCTCCTCCTCTTCTTCCTCCTCCTCCTCCTCCTCCTATCCCTCCCCCTCCACCCCTCTCTCCTCCTATCCCTCCTCCTCTTCCTCCTCCTCCTCCTCCTCCTCCTCTCCCCTCCCTCCCCTCCTTCCGAAAAGGGGACCTCCGTGGCGTGGGGCAGGCCGGGGAGGCGCCCGAGCGGGGCGAGGGGAGATGCCCGCTGCCGCGGAGAAGGCGGCCTCTCCTCGGGCCGGGGCGGAGAGCGGAGCGCCGCGGCGGCGGGGGCCCGCGCTAAAACGACGCGAAGATCGGGACAAAATCGGATCGGGATAACTCGAAATCTCTGAGAATCGGCGGGTTTGGAGGATGTATTGGGCGCCGCGGCCGCTCCAGAGCGTTCCGGAACGCTCTGAGAGCGCTCCGCAACGCTCTGGAGCGATTTATCCCGATCCTAGCCCTGTTTTACGCGCGGCCACCGGGGGCCTTTGGCGGGCCTCGCCGGGCCACGAGGGCCACGATCGCCGATGCTCTGGGCGCCCGACAGGGGCACCGAAGGAATGGGCACGATGCCCAGCAGCAGTTCGTTTTTTCGGCCTCTCCTGGTCCTCCTGGGGGATCTTCGTTGTCACCGCTGGATTCGCCTCGAAATTCTGGTCAGAACGCACCCCAAGAGAGGTCCGGGGACAACACGTATCCGTATCTTTCCGCCCCCCAGCGAGATTGGCACGGAAAGAATGGGCACGATGCCCAACAGCAGTTCCTGTTCATTCTGAACAGGAGTCGCTGTCCACGCCGCCGCGGCCTGTGTCCGCTCGAGACAGGAGGCCGCCAAACCAACAGCGGCCGCTGTTGGTTCGGGACAACATGTGCTGTTGGGCATTGTACCCATTCTTTCGGTACCCATTTCGGGTGTCCAAAACTGATGCCTCCCCCGACATGATCGCGTCGTGAAAGAATTCGGGGCGGGAGGCTTTGGGCTATTTTCGGCCCCGGGAGAGGTCCTCGCCGGGCCTCGGGACCGTCAAAAGACGGCCGAGGACGTCAAGCGGGTCCCGGGGAAAGGGTCGGGACTTCAGGAACGCCGTCCGGAAAAAATCAGGTCGTCGCATGTCTGTGTCGGCGATGCAACCGCGACGTCAGCGATGCATCGGCGACGTCGGCGTGAAGAAAGTCGGAGCGCCACATCGAGCTGGATGGCCGATGCATCGCCGAGGCGGCGCGATGTTCCGACCCCATCTACTCCGACCCCGTCTGGGAGGCCTCCAGTGTGTACCCCGTTCAGCTCTACTGCCGGCCCTCGTCACGTTGCCTGCCTCGCACGAAAGGGCTTCGTGTGGCAAGCGCGCGGTGCGTGGTATATCTGTTGGACATTTCCCCTTGTTGAGACGCGCTTTTTGGTTTCTGTGTCCAATGCGGGGGGGTCGTCCAAGACACCAGCAGTTTATAGCACGTGTCGTGCAGAGGCGGGGGCCGTTCCAGTTTTTGACAGCGGCCGACAAAACAACACTCCAGAAAGAGGTTGCTCGGGCGAAGAGAACTATGCACATGCACCGATTCTGGCAAGGCCCATCCTTGACCCAGGATCGGTGCATATGCCTTCCTGGCCAAGGTAGGAGGGCGTATGCACCGATCCTGGGCTCAGGATGGGCCTGGCCAGAATCGTTGCATGTGCATACTTCTTTTTCCTCTAAGAAAGAGGTTGCGCCGCATGGTCCGAGCGGGCTCCACCCCTTTCCCCCTCGCGCTCCCCAGAGCTGGCCTCTGCCTCCCCTGCTCCTGCTGCGTGGTCCGCGTGCTTCCTCCCGGGCAGCCCGCCACTCATCAGGGATAGAAGAACGCCTACCCATCGGTCGTTGAAAGTAGGTATTTTTGGATTCCCAGATTCCAATCTACTTTGAGCGCCTTCCTACTTCAAGAGTCGAGGGGGTTTCCCTCTTCCCTCCTCTTCAGGAGGCGGGCGGAAACCCATTCTATTTCCAACGCCTTCCTACTTCATGTTTCTACCTACTTCTTCCGACCGATGGGTAAGCATAACATCATAGTGAAGACGTGGCCTCACTGAGGTCCCCGCTTTTGCAGTAGTGATGCTGCATCTGGGCGGTTTGGTTTGACCCATCTGCAGAGGAGTTCCCCTATCCCTAATGTGTGTTGGCCTCCTAACTCAGGTCGCCTCCCAAAGGGTTGCGGGCCCTTTCGTTGCTAACCCAGCCGCTCCCCAGCTCTTTCCTGGCGCCCCCCCGGCCCCACCCTCGGGCGCGCCCGGCATGCGGAGGACCCCCAGGCAGAGTTCGACGAGGCGCCCTGACCACGCCTCTCGCCCTCCCTCCTCGTCCTCTCGCCCTCCTCGCGCTCCTTTGCCTTCCCCCCCTGCGTCCTCCCCGTCCTCCTGATCCCCCGCGTCGTCCCCTTCGTCTTCCTCGTCCTCCTCCCCGTTCTCGTCGCCGTCGTCTTCCTCGTCGCCCTCGTTCGCGTCGTCGTGTCCCAAGTAAACACTGCCTGGAGCTCTAGAGCCGCACTCAAACCTTCCCGAACCTCCTCCGCCTCAGGCGTCCCTCTCCTTGCGCTCCTCCCTCTCCCTCCCTCGCTCTCTCCCTCCTGGTCCGGTCTGGTCGTGGCGCACGATGCCCTGCGCAAATGGCAGGCGTGGCGTTGTCCAAGTCGGATGGGGCTAGGACGAGGAGAAGTCCGTTCCAGAGGGTTCCAGACCGCTCTCAGAGAGTTCTGGAACGCTTTGAGAAGGCCGCTTCGCCTTACCGGGTAGAGCTCCCTCCTTCCCTCCCTTCCCTTCCCTTCCCTTCTCTTCCCTCCCCCCCTCCTCATCATCATTGTCATCTGCTTCTCCAATTCCATTCTTCGCGGGAGTGGGGAAGCGCGCAAGGCCAGTCCGGGGAGGAGGGCGCAGGAGGAGGAGGAGGGAGATGGGGAGGGGGAGGGGGAGGGGAGGGAGAGGGGGAGGGGGAGGGGGAGGGGAGGAGGAGGAGGAGGAGGAGGAGGAGGAGGAGGAGGAGGAGGAGGAGGAGGAGGGAGGAGGGAGGAGGAGGAGGAGGAGGGCGGAGGAGGGCGGAGGAGGGCGGAGGAGGGTGGAGGTGGAGGAGGTTGAGGTGGCTGTGGAGGTTGAGGTTGATGTGGAGGAGGAGTGGAGCAGGAGGACGAGGCGGAGGAGGAGACGGAGGAGGAGGGGGAGCAGGATGAGGAGGAGGAGGAGAAGGAAGATGCACAGGAGAAGGAATTGGAGGAGGCACAGGAGAAGGAGGAGGAGGAGACGGAGAAGGAGTAGGCGGAGGAGGAGGAGCAGGAGGAGGATGAAAATGAGGATGAACAGGAGGTGGATGATGCTGCTGCTGATGATGCTGATGATGATGATGATGATGATGATGATGATGATGATGATGATGATGAGGATGATGATGCTGATGATGATGGTGGTGGTGGTGATGATGATGATGGCGATGGTGATTGTGATGCTGATGACGATGCTGCTGATGATGATGCTGATGCTGTTGATGATGATGGTTCTGATGATGATGCTGATGATGATGCTGCTAATTCTGCTGATGATGCTGATGATGAGGATAATGAGGATAAGGATGATGATGCTCTTGATGCTGATGCTGATGATGATGATGCTGCTGATGATGATAATGATGGTGATGGTGGTGATGATGCTCATGCTGATGATATGAGGTGAGGGGGTGAGATCGAAGGGGAACGGAGAGCCCCCCTACTGGGAAATTGGTTTCGGTTCCGTGTTTGTGCGTGCCGTGCGTGCGGGCGAGGCGAAGCTGCGTGGGCGAGCGAGAAGAAAGTCTCCTCCGGCTGAGGCGCGGCCAGACCAAATGTTTCTTGTCCGGGGGCCGGTGGCGCGCGGTGTCCCGAAGGTGTCCCGCCTCCGGCTGAGGCGAGGCCAGACCAAATGTTTCCTGTCTGGGGGCCGGTGGCGCGCGGTGTCCCGCCGGTGTCCCGCCGGTGTTTTGTCGGTGTCCCGATGATGATGATGATGATGATGATGATGATGATGATGATGATGATGATGATGATGATGATGATGATGATGATGATGATGATGATGATGATGATGATGATGATGATGATGATCATGATGATCATGATGATGATAATGATGTCGATGATGTTGATGATGATGGTGATGGTGGTAATGGTGGTGTCCCGATGATGATGATGCTGATGATGATGATGATGTTGACGATGTTGATGATGATGGTGGTGATGATGGTGTCCCGATGATGATGTTGGTGATGATGATGTTGCTGATGATGATGATGATGATGATGATGATGATGATGGTGTCCCGATGATGATGATGATGATGATGATGATGATGATGTTGATAATCATGATGATGATATGTTGATAAGATGCTGATGAAGATGATGATGATGATGATGGTGTCCCGATGATGATGATGATGATGATGATGATGATGATGATGATGATGATGATGAGGTTGATGATGATGCTGTTGATGATGATGGTGATGATGCTGCTGGTGTCCCGATGATGATGATGTTGATGATGTTGATGCTGATGATGGTGTTCCGATGATGATGTTGATGATGAGGATGATGATAAGGTGATGCTGGTGATTTTGATGAAGGTGGCCCGATGATGGCGATGATGATGCTGATGTTGATGATGATGATGATGATGATGATGATGATGATGATGATGATGATGATGATGATGTTGATGCTGATGATGGTCACGACGATGGTGTCCCGATGATGCTGCTGCTGATGATGATGATGGTGATGAGGTGATGATGATGATGCTGATGATGGTGGTGTCCCGATGATGATGATGTCGATGACGTTGATGACGTTGATGACGTTGATGACGATGATGTTGATGATGATGATGATGACGTTGATTGTGATATCGATTGTGATATCGAAAATGAGATCGATAGTGAGACCGAATGTGAGATCGGTAGTGAGATCGGTAGTGAGATCGATACGAGATCGATTGTGAGATCGATAGTCAGATCGATTGTGAGATCGATCGAATGAAATAGATCGAGTGAGATCGATTGTGAGATCCATCGAGTGAGATCGATCGAGCGAGACCGATAGTGAGATCGATAGTGATATCGATAGTGAGACCGATCGAGTGAGACGTTGGTCCCCCCCCGAAACTCCTTATCACCCGAAGGGTGGTCGTATAGGTAATGATGATGAAGATGATGATGATGATGATGATGACGATGATTGATGATGATGATGATGATGATGATGATGATGATGATGATGATGATGATGATGATGATGATGATGATGATGATGATGATGATGATGATGATGATGATGATGATGATGATGATGATGATGATGATGATGATGATGATGTGATGATGATGATGACGATGACGATGACGATGATGATGATGATGATGATGATGATGATGATGATGATGATGATGATGATGATGATGCTGATGATGCTGCTGCTGATGATGATGATGATGAGGAGGATGAGGAGGAGGATGAGGATGAGGATGAGGAGAGGGAGGATGAGTAGGAGAGGGAGGGAGGGAGGGAGGGAGGTAGGGATGAATGGATGGAGGGAGGGAGGGTTGGGAGGAAGCGAGGGAGGGAGGAAGGGAGGGATGGATGGAGGGAGGGATGGAGGGAGGGAGGGATGAAGATGAGGAGCAGGAGGAGGAGGAGGAGGAGAGGGAGGAGGAGGAGGAGGAGGAGGAGGAGGAGGAGGAGGAGGAGGAGGAGGACGAGGACGAGGATGAGGATGATGATGAGGAGGAGGAGGAGGAAAAGGAGGAGGAGGATTAGGGGCGCCGCTGTGAGCGGCCCTCTTCCAGAGCATGTCTGGCAGCGACCAGAACTGCTGGAAGACCGACGACAGCCATCCGACAGCATCCTCGAGTCTCTGGTGGGCGAAGGGAAGGGGGAGACGGGAGGTGTGCGGTGGTGTGGTGGTGATGGTGGTGGTAGTGGTTGTGGTGGTAGTGGTGGTGGTTGAGTGGGGGGGTGCTTGGGGGGGGGGGGCTGGGAGGGACAGGGACGAGGGGCAGGCAGGCAGCAGGCTAGAGCGGCCGCCAGCATGCTGACCTAGGCCTTGGGAAGAGAAGCATTCGAGGGAGAGAGCGAGAGAGAGAGGGATAGAAAACAGAAACGGGGGACAGATGTGTGGCAGAAGAAGGAGGGGGCGAGCATTAGGGATAATGAGGAGGAAGGAGGGGTCGACGAGGATAGGAAGGATGATGTTTGGGAGGAGGAAGAGGATGATGACGACGATGAGGGGGACATGGGAAGGAGGGATTGGGTAGGAACTGCAACGGAAGTGGGCATGACGGAGACATGCAGTGATGATGCGGAAAGCGAGGTTGAGAACGATGATGACGATGACGATGATGTCGATGACAAATGCTGTTGCCAGCAATGAGGTTAGGCTTGCGTGATGCTGATGTTGATTATGATGGTGGCGAGGTTAAGTGTAGTGTTGACGTCAAGCACTGTGGTGAACATTTTATCGAAGACGCTAGCGAGGACGTTTACGGCGACGACGATGCTGTCAGTCATACCGGTACATCTGGTGACGATCATGGCCAGAACAATGGCAACGATGAGGATCATGTTGCTGATGCTGGCGATAATGATGGGGATGCACAGCAGCAGCGCCAGCAGCATGAGACTGAGGGTGAGGATTAACACAATGAAGAAGGAGGGCGAATACGAGGATAGATGAGAGTGGAGGGTGGATGCTTGGAGAGGGGCGAAAAGACAACACACGAAGAACATAGCGGCATGATATGGGGGAGGAGTGAATATGAGGATGGAGGAAGAAGGACGATAATGCGAGATATGGATGATGCGGGTCATTATGAGTACGTTGAGAAGTCGATGATGATAATGACGATGGCGACGGCGACGAGGTTGTTGTCGATGAGGATGAGGATGATGATGCTGCTGCAAGTGAGGAAGATGATGATGATGCTGCTTCTGATCATGGTGGGTAATGATGTTGAGGTGACTGCAGACGAGTAAGCACGTGAGAGAAAATAACAGACGTATGCCAGCTGCGCTCGCGTCGCATCTGATATCCTATTCCGTTCCTTCTCATTGCGTTTAATCCTCTTGAGCTCGCCGTTTCGGGTGTCGGATTGGTCCTTGATCCCTGCATGTGCGGTGCTTGTCTCGTGCAACTGCGCAAGGGCAGAGAATAGAGGCAAGCTGGGGCCAGGCAGCCCGCAGTTTCGTCTGGCGAAAACAGGCGCGCGCAGTCGAGCCACACCATGCGCGACACAGGCATTGGCAGGAGGAGGAAGAGGTGGAGGAGGAGCATGGGAAGGAGCAGGGGAAGGAGGAGGATGAGAGGAGGAGGAGGAGGAGGAGGGGGAGGAGGTGGAGGAGGATGAGGAATAGTAGTAGTAGTAGTAGTAGTAGTAGTAGTAGTAGTAGTAGTAGTAGTAGTAGTCGTAGTAGTAGTGGTAGTGGTAGTGGTAGTAGTAGTAGTAGTAGTAGTAGTGTAGTAGTTAGTTAGTAGTAGTAGTAGTTAGTCGTAGTAGTAGTAGTAGTAGTAGTAGTAGTAGTAGTAGTAGTGTAGTAGTAGTGGTGGTAGGAG